ATCTATCTATATACACATATATATATATATATATATATATATATATATATAGATCACTATATATTTAGTCCCACCCAAGATATTTCATTTATTGTCAAACCTCCCCCAGACGACCTCAAAAGTGTAGTATCACTTGCTATAGTGGGGCTGTAAAGCCCTGCGCGTAGTTCTTCCCTTGCCGGATGACGTCCACCTCACCACAATGCCGACCATCGAAAACGCATGGCAATCCTTCCTCAGTGACGCACACCCTATCGCGGGAGAAGAAATCCATCCTCTTCTCGAAGCAACCCCATCGCCGAGCGTACTCTTTTTTCCCCACCATCCACTCATTTTCTCGTTAACTTTTCGCTGCCGCCCCTCCCCCCTTCTGACTCCACACTTCGTAGCGCTTTTATGACGTTGCCCTTCCCCCTGGAGGGCGCTTTAGGCGTAATAATTCAAATTTGTCTTCTTCCGCGCCTGCACGGCGGCGATGCCCTCCACGAAGTCCTGATGCGAAACATACACGCGATCATGGCAGAGGGCGAGCATGCCCGCCTCCACGCAGACCGCCTTGAGCTGCGCGCCGTTCATATCCTCCGTGCACCGCGAGAGCTCGTCGAAGTTGACATCGCTATGGAGCGTCATGCGGCGGGAGTGGATTTCGAGAATCCGCACCCGCGCCTCCTCATCCGGGAGGGGAAACTCCACCTTTCGGTCTAACCGCCCGCTCCGAAGCAGGGCAGGGTCGAGCACGTCGATGCGATTCGTCGCCGCGATCACCTTGACGTCGTCGCTGCTGCCGAAACCGTCGAGCTGGGAGAGCAGCTCGAGCATCGTGCGCTGCACCTCCCGGCTGCCGTGTTTCCCCTCATCGCTTCGTTTCGACCCGACGGCGTCGATCTCGTCGATGAAGATGATCGCCGGGGCTTTTTTTTTCGCCATCGCGAAGGCATCCCGGACGATCCGGGAGCCATCCCCGATGTACATCTGCACGAGCTGAGGGCCGGCGAGGCGGAGAAAACACGCATCCGTGGCCGCCGCGCAGGCGCGCGCGAGCATCGTCTTCCCCGTCCCGGGCGAGCCATACAACAGCACCCCTTTCGGCGGCTGAATCCCGATTTTCTGAAACTGCTCCTTATGGGTGAACGGCATCACGACGGCCTCGATGATCTCGTTGATTTGCTTATCCAACCCCCCCACGTCGGTGTACTTCTCCTTCGGCCGCTCATCGATCTCCATCGCCTTCACGCGGCTGTCGTACTCCGGCGGGAGGGTATCCAAAATCAGGAAGGTGTCTTTGTTCACCCCAACCAAATCCTGCGGCGCGAGCTTCTCCGGATCCACGAGGCCGACCACCGGGAGGAAAACGGTGTGGCGATTCGACGTCTTAATCACCGCGCTCTTCTGCCGCCGGTCGTTCTTGCGGCGCCCAACCCCGAGCTCCTGCCCGTCGTCGTCGTCGTCGCTCAGGTCCAGAATCTCCGCGACGGTCGCGACGAGGTACGGCAGGCGGTTGTTATCCCGCACCCGCTTTTTCCCTTCGTCGAGCTCCGCCTTGAGGGCCTGGAGGTTCTGCATCGTGCGGCGTTCCATCCCACGGAGCTGCTGGATATCCTGCTGGAGCTGCCGGGATCGGACCTTGAGCTGCTCATTCGTGAGCGTGTAGAGCTCTTTTTTCTCCTCCTCGGTGAGGTTGTTCACCCGCTTGGTCTGGCTGCCAGCCGCCGTAGAGGATTCCTCGTTCTCCTTGACGGCAGGGGCTTGGGTGGATGACATGGAAAGCAAGATAAGATGGAGAGAAGAAGCGCAGCCGAGAGGGGTATGTTTCCCGAAAAAATTCCTCCTGTGCTCTGTATAAGGTGCAAGAGAGTGAAAACTAGGGCGAAAATTTCATAAACCAACGCAAGGAATGGAGGGATGAGAAAAAAAGAGGTTATTGAAAAGGAGAAAATAATGCAGTGGTTACCGAAGGGAGATGCTGTGGGCTCTGTTTTTGAGTCCAAACCCATGCAGCCTAAACGATCGTCACTCATGGAAGGATATTTCGGATCTCTTCTACCCCATATCCAGATTACACAATCCTGCTAAGAAGAGCTAATCGAAGGTGTCATATATTAAATATATATTTATACAGATACGTATTAACGATAATCTGTTCCATATGAATTCACGAGGATAAAAATAGGGAGAAGCAATCGGTAATGACAAGGAGACCTTAACCTTGAGAAACAGAGTTTTCTCATTAATCAATTCGGTCGTGTATGAGGACATTGACAGGAGTAATAGAATGAGACCAATATAACACCAAGTATATTTCAACAAAGTACAAGAGCAAAAGGAAAGTGAATAGTATTATTCATGTGTTATGCATAGAAATAATTATAATAGTAACAACTTAGTACAAATATAGGCGATGAAAATTGTATCTCCTTTGAGCTCACTAAAAAGTTAAATTTGAAGCATACACACAGCTTCATACCTTTTGAGCACCTATCGCTCATAATTTGACTGGTGAAAAAGAGAGAGTATATAAATTCATGAGCAAATATAGATTTTTTTCACCCTAACACCATTATCTCAAACGAGCGGTAAGTGCAGACAAGATAGATAAACACGAGTCAGCAGTTGATACCTAACCCTCGTGTCTCGCAATTTAAAGCTCCTTGAAGAACTCATTGGTGTACGAAGGTGAAGAGTCAAAGAGTTTTAAACATGTGTAGAAAAAGGCTTTATTTATTTTTCATCTTTAAGACGCATAACTAAGCAAAAAGGGCGCTAACTCGAAATAGTCAGTTTATTTTCCCATTTAAAAATAATAATCATACATTCCATATAACATGGAGTTTTCTTAAGCGATGTATAAACAAATTAAATACACTTTCCAACAATAATTGTTACTATAATTAGCTTGCATATTGGCTGAGAAAAGTGTTTTCTTTTTGTATGAATAAATTTTTTCTTTTTCAACCATTGGAATAAACTTTACCTCAATGATTAAACCCTTAAATACAAGTATATAAAATAAGCAGTAATGTAATAGTATAATATATAAAAAAATAAAACAGAGCAACCTCAACTTACGAAATCAAAATCATTCATACGTCACATGATTTGGTGCCTTTTATTTTCATCAACAAGGCAACAAAGCATTTGATCAACGCAATATATGGATATATATATATATATATATATAGATTTCTGACAGCGTGGGCAAACATTGAAGAATGTATGCAAGAACATGGAAAAAGATGGCGTAGATTCAACCCAGTTTATGAATGATGAGAGAAATACACCTGGATTAAGTAATAAAAATATTTGAAAGCCATTTTCGACATGAACAAATGTTGATTGGCATATATGCTAATGTGGAAAACAGAAAGGCATGGTATATAAAACATGAAGAAGTTGTACGATAACTAATCGCTGTGTAAAAAAGGAAAAGGTAAGCCTAACCACCATTCTTTCGTGATACCTTGTATCAACACTTGTTGATTGTAGTTGTGCACCGGAGTTGCAGCAAAAAGCGGAAAAAAATATCGTCGCACAGAATACAAGCCGAAGTTGGTACACATTTGTATCAAGCCACAAGGACTATTTTCCAAGATGTTTCAGTGAATAGAGCGATATAGTATTGCCTTGTCAACATGTTTCGTACGAACGACAGCATTAGTACTTAGATTAGTAGCAAGCCTGTGCACTATATGGGTCAGAGGAACAAAACCATTGGAGCTTGTAGGATGCTTTGGTTGCTTCAAGGTTGTTAGCCTATTGACATAGGGATGGGCACAGTTACCACAAAAAGCTTAAGTAATCCGATTTGGGATAGGTTTCTTCATTTAGTATACCGCTTGGTTTATCTATAGCAGCAATCTTTCTTTGCAGGAAGTTGGACTTGCGGAGTTCAGGAATTACCTTGGAGGAGCTCTTTAGGGCAGAAGGGGGACTAGCCACTCTCTTGGTGAAGTTCAGACCGGAGAGGTCATACTCCCCATCCCCAATGTCAGAACTGTGGGATGGAACCGAGTACAACCTGCCCCCCGCCCTTCTCCCCTCATTTTCCGCCTTTTCCATCAAATACGACTTCGAGCCGAGCCTCGAAGCGCTTGTGAGCGGCTCCCCAATGGAATTCCGCCGCTTGTCGCACTCCCGCTTGTAGATCTCACTGGCAAACCCATAGCGATACCGGCTGAGGTCTGAGTGGTCCGTCGTGGGGCGACGCCGGGGCAGCGGGATCGCGTGGGGGAGGGGGGAGGGCCCAACGCCCTTTGCGACCCGTCGGGACACGACGGAGTAGCCGTCCGGATCGCGAAGGGCCTCTCTGCCACTCGTTTTTTGAGGGCCCAACACGCGTCTGGCCCGGTCGTGCGGAGTCTCCCTGCTGAGAGGGGCCCCGCTTGTTTTTTGAAGCCCCGACACCCGACTGGCCCGGTCACGAAAGGCGCGCTCCCTGCCAGTCTTTTTTTGCGGGCCCGACGTGCCTCTGTCCCGGTTGCTTAGGGCGTCCTCCCTGCTACTGGTTTTATGAGGGCCCAACCCCCGAGTGTCCCGGTCCCCAAAGACACACTCGCGCGTGCGGCGCCCTTCCCCAAAGCTCCGCCAGCTGGGCCCCTTTGAGGGGTGGGTGCTGTAGTGGAAGAAGCTGGAGAGGTCACCGAGTTCGTAGTAGTCCTCCGAGGCGACCTTTTGGAGGCGGATGGACCCCGTCTCGGACGAGTCCCGTGTGCTGCGGTGCGAGAGGTCGGAGTTGCGGGGGGAGTTCAGCCAAAACGGCCCCTCCCGCGTCTTCGAAGACTTCTCCTGGATTGAGGCGACGCTTCCTAGGTTGGTTTCGTTGCCGGGTTGACCTCGGTCACTCGCGCATTTCAAAACAGGCTCATCGGCATAGTCGCCCTGCACATTCGTCCACCGCTGTCGGGGCTTGGGGCTGACGCGAATCGCGGGCGACGCACTCCCCCCCGCATTAATGAAATTATAAAACCAAATCAGGGGCTCCACTTTGGAGGTACCGCCACCTAGAGGGTAGGTGGAATGGGGCGAGATGACCGGGAGCTCGGTGCAGGGGTCACCAGCATTATTCGTCAGTTTGCCTCCGGTCTCGAGCGGAACTTTCACTAAGCTATGGCGCTTTGCCTCAGTGCGTGGGTCCGCTCTTCTGCCCTGAAACATCAAATGCGCGGGGACCATGTCATTTGGACAAATGTTGAGACCCCCCCTTCCGTGCAGTGGTGGGAATACGTTATGACCCTTCTTAGGGTCAGGACCTTGGCTGCGGGGTTGGCGGTTGTTATCAGCCTCGTCCTCGTCACTACTCCACACCGGTGACTCAAGCACGGGGATATCTTCAATAATGAAGGATGAGGGATTGCACATCCCCTTGACCTGGTTCCGAGCTGCTGCTACATGCCACCCATTCCCCCTGCACATGAACGTGAGTTCTACACCCTCCAATGAAATTTCAGAAACTAGGCTTTTATATATATATATATTTTCTTTAAAAAAATGTTATTTATATACGGACTGAACCGCATCCTAGGATTATCACGCAAGTATCAAAAAAATTGGAAGCGAGAAACAGAGGAGATAATCCAACGAAAAGCACGAGAGCACGCTAAGTAGGGAGATACAGGAGTTTGGAAGAGCTCGGTGTGTCTATAATAACATTATTATGCTATTATAGTATTCGCTTCCAACATTTTGGCTGATCATCTTAGGATGACTTTTTCCGCTTGAGGCTGCATCAGCACCGTGTACTCCTCGCACTAGACGTCTTCTAGAGAAAGAAGAAACAGTGATTAAAATCCTGCCTTTTTGACGAGGTAACTACTTTGAAAACTCAAAGAGGTTAGGGGGGATGGGGGAGAGAGAGTTTGTGTTAGTGAGCAATCTCTATATTGCACACACTTTCTGCTCTTCATATCAAGCTTTTCCGCCAAGCATAACACAGGTGCCTTGTCCTTCGTAAAGCAATTTAATTCCATGTGGTATACAAGAGTAAAAAGCACTGGAACACGACATCGGGACAAATTATTGTTTCAAGCTTCAACCATTGCTACTTTTATGTCACTGCTTCGCATTTATTCCCATTCTATTTTCAAGTACCTAGCTGTTGATTGATTTGTGTTTTTAGGACCTTGACGCTACACATTAACTTTGTGAAGAAAGTTGCAATCATTCCCCATGAGGCTTGATGGTGTTTCCTTTTTTTTTCTTATGTATATCTGCATGCATGTGGTACGTGATAGAGGTGAATAATATATATTTTTTCACGTCATGCATACCTCCGTGAGACCATCACTTATAATAGCTCAAAATGGTGCGAAAAACATACCTTCAAGGTGTGTTCGGCATCATGCTCAAATTCATACTTAGGGGGAGACAACTTCATCCAAGCGCACACACCATAGCGAGAGAAGTCCTCTATGTCCGTTTTCTACTAAAATGACAACGAACGAATGCTTCTGTCACCCAAAGCTAGATTGCGCACCTAATCCTTACACAAGTTTTTGATGCGAAAACGAACACAGACATCAATATATGGTGCCAAGGTGCACCAACACGTAGGCTTCGACATAAAAGAAGCGAGAGACATCAATTGAACAGCGAGTCATTGAGCAGAACCACCGTCACCCCTTTTTCATCAACTTAAGCTGCGGTGCAGCCATACGCCTCAGCAAAAGGTGTTTCGACCGCCGCTGCCAAGGAAGTAGCCAGTTCAAATATTTCCAACCCTACCGCACGCACATCCATGGTCCTTCCACCAGCGCTTGCAGGAATCACAACAGAGATGGTATACTCTATTCGAGGATCTTCCTCGTCGTCACGCAGCACGATCAAAGGCTGCCGTTTTATCTCTAACACAGTTATAACGATACCACGGTCGTTTACACGTTCAAAGCGCCGTGTTTCATTTTCTGAAAGGTAAATTATCTGTCCATGCTCAGGTGGCAACACATCGTTGACATCGTCATTCGAGAGTTCAATGATGGGAAACGATTGGTAAGTTTCAATAACCGTACGGCTTATGGGTGGCCGGGAGCGAAGCAGGAGTCGCACATCTGGCCCCCGCGGTCGCGTGTGATGCACGGTTTGAATGTCAACCCATTCATTGTGAAGGGCAGACAGCCGCCCTGTTGCATCCAAGTCAGCATGCAGTTTATCCTTCGCGCGCTTAATTATCACCTCATATGAGAGCGGAGGGGGGGTCTCTTTACGACGTTCCTCACCGACCGGGAAAAAACCTTGATCCTTGAGGAAGGTCTCCACAGTAGTAATAGCCGACTCGGGAATGGCGGTAACCCACGTGTACAGTTTATTGAGCTGCAATCGCTGTTGCATAGTGTATGTGGAGACGACGGCCTCACCGCGCTGCATTGCCCTTGAATCCAGTAAAAGCTTTCCTAAAGACACCGAGAGCTCACCATCCATTTGGAGGTTGCACATGTTCAGTAAGCACCACTGAAACACCTTACTGAAGCGCGAACGCAGCGCCGTGTTTGGATCCGTGGGTGTCAATGTATAGCACTCCGTGTTCGCCGGGAATGCGGGAAAGGTGGAGGTGTTAACGCGGGAGACAACCATATCCGTGGAGGTCCCTTCCGTCAGGAGCTGAAAGGCCTTGGGGGCCATATTGGCGGTGCCCTCATAAAATCCCGATTGGGCTAAATCAAGAAGCGTCTCCGGGGGCACCGCGGTGTTCTCACAAGGGGGACCGTACCCCCCTCCCCGTTGCAGTTGCGGCGGGAGGGAGGGGGTGTCCGACGACGTGGAGCTCTCCTTCGCGTGGAGGTACTCCTCAACACGCCGCACAAGGGCCGCCTTGTTAGCCCCTTGGGCCGTTTGAATTCCCGCCGATTGCAGGAACTGCTGCATCTGGGCGACGGAGAGGGAAAAGAGGTTCCCCTCGTTCCACAGGGCCCACACTTCTTCAAGCGATAAAGTTGATGAGTTGGCGTCTTTATTGTGTATCATTCCGGGTCCGGTCTCTGTTGCAGCCGTGCGAGAGGCGTTCCCCGCATGTGTGCTTTGAAGGCGGCAGGAGGATGCCATCGCTGAATACGCAGCATCAGCCTGAAGGCGATCTCTAACGAATGGGGAAAAGCAAGAAAGGGCGGGATGGTGGGTAGCCAGGGTAGCAGACACAATCGCCGTCCGGCGCACACAGACATGCCGCAAGCAATAATGAAGGCAGCCCGTGTGGCGAATCATGTCTTTTTCTTAACGATTTATTTCCTCTTTTATATTATTTCGAAATTAGAGGCTTCGATTGAAAGGAGATCTTTCAATATTTTTTTACTTATTTGCTATGGTGTTTGCTATTCACAAGAAGGCTCCTGATAGAAGCAATCACTTGGGCTTAGTTTGGAGCATATAGTGGGTACATTAGGAAAGGAGAGGAGGGGAAAAAGAAAGCATTGTTTGGGCGCGCTTGAGCAAGACGTGATACAAAATTCACAAGGGGACCAGACCTCAACAGAAATCATAGTCTAAGTAGAGGCGCAAGGGATACCTGAAAGAAAGACCAATATATTGTTAAACCGTGGAATAAACGTTTGTCATGTATTTATACATTTTACATATGTCTTATATTTTTAGTCTTTTCCCTCATTTTTATTTTATTTCACTAATTAACCCCCTTCAAACAAGTGTACTATTTACATCGTATACGAATTGTATAGGAAAATTGGTAGTTTTTTTTTTGGAAAAGAGTATATTTCAAGGGCTACCCAAAGGACTTTCACATGCAGCCAATGGTTGAATCTAGAAAAAGAAGACTCTCATTATCACCAAAAGGAGGAGATGTATACAAGAAAAATGCTTGTTACACCCATTTAAATATTTTTGTAACTATTTATTACTTTCTAGGAGAAGTGGGGAAAAATAAAAAGAAAATGAAGCACATAACTAACGTTATTGCTTCTCTATCAATCTATGGCGTACCCTTTCTGGTGAGAATGAATGATAGTGTGTCCAAACAAGAAAATTGTGAAAACAACGCTCTTAGGTACGCGGCAAAAATGATTTATTAATGCAATCATCTAATGCTCATCCATTTGCTAGTATTCTATAGCAATTATATCAAAGCAGTCCACATCCTATGGCAAGGGGAAATAATTACCCACAGTGTCGGAAAACAATATTGCAATGATAGTTGCTGATTTTTTATAACATCATTATTACTCACCGTATGTATGCTATTGGCTGTTTACGCATAGTTCGGAAATTAAGAATATATATGCACGCATATAAAAACATTCTCATTAAAACGTGCATCTTGAAAAACAACTTATAGGATCCCTTGGTGGGAAAAAAAGCAAAAATGACCCTCATCGAAGCAATAATGATAGTCAAACTACTGAAACAATCAAGACAGCTGCACTCATACCATGAGTGCAGCATCATAAAATCCTTTAAATTATCTTCTACAGCCCTCCTCTCCCTCGGTTCCGCACTCTGGTGTGTGTGTCCGCGTTCGTACTCCTGGATCCGGTGTTCTACTGTTGGGGTCCTTGGAAGGAGACGCGTGCTCGATGGTGCCTTTGTGCAAAGAGCGGTTTGCAATCCCAAATCCCGCAGCAGGATATCGATCTCTTGATTTTCGGGAATCTTGACGCATTTTGTTGCACTGTGGACGAGCACGTAGGGTCTCAAATGGTTCCTGGCCACACCAATTATCCTCGTCCGTGTTGCTCTCCGATTGATGCTTCTCATCCAGGCTCCCTGCAGAGGCCGCATCGGCAAAACTTTTATGTAAACACCGATAGACATTCTCGATCCGCGGCTCCCCATCCACGGTACCGTCAACATTCTCCCCCCCCTTGAAGTTCCTGTGCGCGCGAGCCTCATCGGAGTTGTGGGTTTGCTTTTGGCTACGATGGAGAAATGGCGTGCTCGCCTTCGAGGAGGCCGCCACACCGGTATCGTTGCGGTGGATTGCCGAATCGGCGCCCACGCGGGCGTTTTTTTTCGTTTCCCCCTGCAGTTGCTGCCTTGCGTTTTTGCGCCCCGATGCGTCTCGCGCGGTATCTTTTTTGGGGGAGGCCGAACTCTTAGCCAGGCCGCCCGAGGGGGACCGCGATGAGGCCCAGGATGAGGCTTCATGACGTTTCATCCCGTGATTCAGCTGGTAGATCATGAAGATATCAAACGAGCATGGCTCGGGCAAACGGTGGATGCCGCTGCACTCATCGCCAGCCACACACGACGCACGAATCCAGCTTATGCACAAATTCCGTGGTGCGGTTGCGAAAATACAGTTCGTCGGGTTTCGGCAAGCGCCAAACCATCGCAGGCATGGGTGAACCTCCGTGCTGAACGACCTATCCTGTGGTCTTTGTTGCACGCGCTTCGTGATCGTCGTGGTCTTGTTGTTGCCCGTGTGGGTGGCGGTGATCGACTGACGATTTGTGCTGCGCTGCGCGATGGGTGTCGCGAGGGTGGAGATCGCGCCAATATTCGCCGCATCGGTGAAACAATGCATCCTCGAGGCGTCTAGGTTGTATGCATGGGGTTTGCCGAGCTGCTCATCGGGATCGTAAAGCCGTGCCTCTGGTTGACAGGTACCAAAATTTTCACAAAGCAGGGTGGAGGGTAAGAACGTTCCATCGGAAGGGGTGCTATGGGAAGCGCCGATAGGCTTCATCGCCCGCTCCCCGTTACCGACCTTCACCTTGATCGAAAATAACGGATCCCCATCGTTTTCTCGGTAGGATTTGCCTCCATGATGGTCTTCCTCACTGGGGGAAATCGCTGGGTTCAGTGGTTGGTTCGCCATGATCGGTGCACTCCCAACCGCACCCAATGCCGCGCCCGCGCTCATCTCCTGCTGCGCGGCGAAAAAGCGCGCTTTGTTGAGAATAAACGCCGCAGCCTCCGGTCGCCCGCTGCCGATCTCCAGCAGGATCCGAACCAGATCCTCCCTGCTCGTCTGCATCAGCTGCTTCTCCAAGGCGAAGTTGTAAAATTCCACCAACGGGCCCTGTGCTGAGTGGGAGGGGGATTGGGGATCCCCTGGAAGGGGGGTCGCCCCCCCCCCTCCTCCCGGGCTGCACCGCTCGCCCTCCGCAGGGGAGACGTCCTGGCTGCCCACCCCGCAGCAGCCCGCGGAGACGACGCACGGGGAGGCCGAGAGCCCACCCGGGGTGAAATCCTCCACCCCGATTGTCGGATCGCTGTGGGAGTTGAAAGGCGAGGTCGTCCCGGTCGCGGCCGTGTATTTTGAAAACGCGAAGGGCGGGACCGCGGGGGTGCCGCATGAGACATGAATCGGCAGCGAAAAAGATTCACGGGACGGCTCATCGACGTTAAAAACGCCGCCGCCGTGGTTCGCACTGTCGTGTGGGGAGAATTTATACAACAAATTACTGGATACGTCGAAGGGCAAGACTTTCTCCCGCCGTGTTGCGGCCGCAGCCTCGTATTTGAGGTCCCACAGGGCCATGCTGTTATCGTTGGAATCCATCGGACAACCTATTGCATTCAAAGAGGCTCCCGCATCAATGAATTCCCCGTGAGTAAGTGTTTGATACAAGGGATGGTCTTTAGACTTCTTCGTGGAAAATTCAGAAGGCATGGCTAATGAAGACACTGCCAAACTCGTCATCGATTCAGTGTTGCCTAGAGCTTCCGTTAAAGAGATACCACCATTTTCATTATTCCGTATTATACCAGTGTAAAGTGACGAGGGCGTACTTTTCTGTGTACCCGCGTTATTATCCAACACTCCAGAGTGACTGGCATCGCTTCGTGAAAGATTTTGATTTGATAGAACGACCGCGTCTTCAGTCTGATATGCAATGTGGGAGTCCTCTGAGATGCCTAGCTCCCCAAAGTGAAACAATGTGGAGTGAATATCAGAGGAAAAAAGCGGAGGTGCGTTGACAACACGTTGCCGAGGAAAGGCCGCCATGTGGTTAGGGAAAAGGCTGCAGCAAGCGGCAGCGGCAGCACTACTTTCCATTAATAGTTTGAAGTATCACACACCTTTACACTCTTGCTGGTGAAATGATATTACGATATTAATATATATTGTATATATATATATAAATATATATATGGACTATATTTTAGTAGCAAGGGATGTATTAGAAAGCAATGTATGAGTTCGATAAAATCGGATTTTTTCTATTTTCGATGACTCTATAAAATTACGACAGAGAAATCTGGAAAAAAAAACAGACAAAATGCAAGCGACGTGATAAAACACCAATTTCTAACATAGCCGTTTCTCTAAGTCTCAAATGGAACAAGCATGGAGATCGAACTGAGTACCAGGCCGTAAGATGGAAACCGAGTACTACACAATTCTTCTTATTTCTACTGTTTACAACCAAAAAAGATGCATACACTCCGTGTTTAAATATAAAAAAAATTATTGCCTTTGCCAACCTTACTTATGGATTAGTGCATGAAATAACCAAACACGACACGAACATAGATGTAATATATGAGGAGTTAACACTTTTTGCCCTTTTCCCCTTCTGTCTATGCATTTGGATGTTGTTCTTGATATTGCTGCATAGCACGTGCCTTCTGTTCCATAGCATTCACCACCTGATTTTGTTGCTTCTGCTTTACCAAAATGGTCTTTTCGATCGAATCCATGCTCTCCTTGATCTGCGCGGCTCGCGAGTTAAAATAAGATTTAGCATGTTCCATCGACTTCTCGAGGAAGTAACCTGTCCCGACATCTACCAAGACCTTATCACTGGGTATCACGGTCCCTTTGACGAATAGAGAAGAGGTCATGCACACCAACACATCCTGTTTCTCTGGCACCGGTACGTTTCCACCATTCTGAACCGTTTTCAAGTCTTCACAAACTTGTCGATATTGTTCTATAGCATCACAGTTCTCAAGATAGCGCGTACGGCCGTTGAAAAGTCCATCGTATGCTGTTCCAAGTGTGGAAATATCGCTGTCTAACTGTTGCTTAACCCCCTCGAGTTGCTCCAGCGGCAGTTGGAAAACATTTACACCTTGTTGTGAGGACATAGCTAGTACTGATTTTTGAATTAAGACGTCAATATAAAAATTAAGTAGAAAGGTGGGACCCCTTTTTTCCTTCCTGGAGTAGTGTGTTTAGTAAATTGAGAAGTGTGAAGCTGAAAAGATTGGAATCAGCGAAATAAAAGAATGCGATTCTTTGAACATAAAAGCGATAATATCATAGTCAGCACGAATAAAGAAGAATATACCAAGAAAGTATCCCTGATAAGGCCCAATAAAATTATCATCTAGATCCAAAAGCATAATTAGATCTAGCAATTTTCTACACTAACCTTACCAACCACGCATAATTTCTCCAAATTCTATGCGCTTCATCCTTTTAGATGAGGAGTGTATCATCAAGGAAATACGGATCCAATGCTAACAATAATGGGCTTTGATTGGAAAAGAAATTTACAATATAGGTGTAGCACAATACCATTATGTCTGCGTGGCTGCGTCAACCACTAACGAAGGTGGCGCATACTCCAGCAAATACACAGGCTCCAGTTCAGAAAGCTCCATGTACGGCAGCCCAGGGACTAGGTTGTAGTACTCTCCACGAGCGTTTGGGAGAAACACACGTGGCACTGGATCATCTGGAATGAGGTAAAAAATAAGACTAGGTTGGGCAGGTTTGTATGGTAGAGTCTTATGGTCCCAGTGACAGGGTATAATCATTGACGGTGTGTATTTCTACTATGTCAAATGGGAAGGCACCAGGGTGGGCGGGTGAAGGAGAGATAAAAGGCGCAGAAGGCGGAACATTTTTAACATTAACTAGAATGAAAGAAAACGTAACAAACTTTGCCACAATGCCTGTTTCGGAACCTCACCCTCACCTCTCGAGCTCACCACATCTTCATTTCACTTTAATGAGTAAAAAACACCTATTCACACAAGGGAATCCCGAGTAAAGAAGGGACGCCTTGATGCTCCATCAACAGCAAAAGGTTTACTTTCCTATGCTTCAGTATCCTCACATTTCTCCTTTTCCATCTTTGAACCAGATGCGAGCGGCTTCCCAGATGTAGAGAGCAGCATAAGCGTATTCATGACTAAGGGCCGCGTCTTGTCAACTTTTGAATCCAACGCGGAGCTCCCTAGCGCAGGCTCAGCAGCGGCGGCGATGATGCTATCAAAAGCGGCACTTTCCTGCTGGCGGGTCTGCGAAATCCTACCATCACCTTTCCCTCTGACGCCTCCACTACTGTCTTCCGTGGCCTCGTCACTTATGGGGTTTGCGTATTTGTCTATGAGAACCTTAGTGGTGAGGTTGTACACCTGAGGGTCGATCTGGGAACGCGGAGGCGGCACGTCGGTTTCGGTTATGCTGCCACCAGGCGCCGCAGTCGTAGGCTTTCCTCCTTCCAGGTGCGGAAGCAAATGCTGAGCCAAGCCAGTTGTATAAATTTGGGCGCCATGATTATCATCCCAGCTGTCATCGTACGACCCGACATTATCCCCATTCTCATCAAACGTTTTAGTATTGCTGGTATTCAGAATAGAGTTGCCTTGAGCTTCTGGGGGTGAAAAAGTTGGCGTCGTAGACTCAGAGTGGCGTCGGAATGTTTTCCGTTCCCTTAATGCCGCCGCTGAGGTGGCTAGTGGATCGAATTCGGTATCTTCTTTGACGGCGACCGCGACTGGAGCGCTGTCAGAGTTGGGATGGAAGATACCTGAAGAGCTCGGGCCAACAGCGATGCTGCCCCTTTCAGTACTCGAGTCCTCACCTAGCAGGAGATAGCTCATACGTTGGTTACTCACCTCCCCAGTTTTCTGCCCCCCGCTCAGGTTCACTGACTTTGCCATCCGTTTATAGCGAATGTATTTGAAAAGTCGCCAAGCGCCGTAAGCAAGAAATGCCAGGGGTATAATAAGCACTATCAATGCGAACAGTTTCCAATTGGGACTCTTATTGGCTCCCTCGGACGAATTATCCATGCCTGCCATTAGAGTTAAGGTCAATCTCGCGCCTTTAGTGGGAGTAAGGTTTTGTGTGGGTACCATATTCATCATTTTGAGCTCGTGCGCAATTGCGTTTACATCTTCCCCTACCTCTCTTAGCGATCTCTTCGCACTAGCAGAACCGTTGGAGCGCAAAAAAGCGACCATTTGTGCCCTCCTTTGGACCCTTTCAAGCTCGGTGGCTCTACCCGCAACCTGGCTTGCGCTGAAATGGGTTAGCCGCGGCATTCGTTGCCTTATCTTCGTGTTCCGACCCTGGTCGGAAGTGAACGCGATCCGGGGAGGAGATGCTTTAGCAGAGTTTCCCGGCCCAGGGGTATCACAGCTGTCTGGACGCTCACCAGAATTCTTTTCAAAAATCATCGCATTCTCCAAAAGGCGGCAACCAGATATAGCCGTGGGACTGGTTACATGTGTGCCATCATCAGTACAGGATACATAAAGCAGAGTATTTATTTCGCCACAAAAGGTGTTTTTTTCAGAGCGAACAGGCAATGCAAAAACAAAGAAAAATGTAACAGTTATGCAAAAATAAAACCAAAATGAAACAGAACTATGGTCTACGTGTTGTGGCATTATAAAGGTTCAGTATGCTTTTTTCACTAGCCTTTCAAAAAGCTTTCAAAAAAGGAAGAGAGAAATGTATAAACTTCTTTTATAGGTGTTTCGTGAACAACACCCAAGAGATTTCCGAACTTAATCGCTAAAATAATTCTTAGGATTCTTTTAGCATGCATCTAACTATTCCCATTTCCTATATTGTCTTTTCATGAGTGCTATAAAAAGAAAACAAGCTTAAAACACACGCACACACACACACACACACATATATATATATATATATATATATATATATATATATATTCTTCTTCTTTAG